AACTTCTTCATCCTACACTTAGAACTAAGATCACATGAAATTCAATCCTGCAGCAACAAGCACCCAGCACACTGCACTGAAGATGGGGTTTTCCCCTATATACTTTGCTATTACAGCAGCTCACGTTAGTATTTCATGTTTTCTAATTGCTCTTTAGCTTCCAACCAAGGAAATTCCACCAGTGTGGGTGGTTTAATACAGATGAAATTAATCTGGCAAGTAGGAAACCTAAGGCAATTATTTTCAGCCACTATTCAGTACAAATTTGAAAGCACTGCAATATCATCTGATATTTATGAGCTGATTATAGAGATGCTCAATAGTTTTCCTAATACCCTCTCAGAATACTAAACTAAGATCTTTGTCTATAGTCTCCTAAACTATTTTGGTCTTTAGATTTATTTTTTTTTTTACCCATATACAGTAACATCTGTTTAAATCAAACAATAAAAATTAATCTAAAAGAAGGCAAAGTGATTTGTGTGCGTGTTGAAGAATCAGAACCCAACCTGGGTTATGTTAATTCCAGACAGAAACTTGCTGTATTTCTGTGCTGCAACTTTTCAGGTGGATACCACTGCACATCCTAGAGTCAACCTAAAAAAAAACTACCATGAGTGCTGGATGATAAAACAGCCTGAAGAAAGGTGCTGGTAAGCTGAAAGCTGCTTTGCAAGGGGTTGTGAATTCCAAGCAATGACAACAGAAAAGTTTCTTAACAAGGGACATAACTATTTTGCACTTTCTGCCAATGGGAAACATCTGCACTGAAGCCTTTTCCTCTGAAAGAGCATTCTGAAATTCAGAGAGGAGAATTTAAAACTGCCTCTGAAGTTTAGCTGGTAACATTTACACAATGTTGATGGCATGTACTGGAGCTTTCTGGTCTAAATTAAGCATATTTTAATAATATTACAGAATATGCATTGCCTGAACTTGTAGACAGTTTGCAACATGTCTTTTTTTGTTTCATCCGTGCATGCCTATGAGAAAGCAAGGGGAGAAAATCTTTCACTTGGTCACCACATCTTTGCAAAGTGACACTGAATATCTGTGTAGTCCCACTCCATTCGAATAAAGTCTCAGGGAACAGGAATTAAAAGAAACATCTCCCTTCTTCCCAGCCTGTTATGTCTATACATTGTGCTTTATAACAAGCTGATGGGAGAGAAAAGAGAGAAAAGGCAAAGAGTGAAGCCAAACTTTCAGCCCCAAAGCAAGAGAGGGTTAGAAACGTTTAAATCAATTCATCAGCCCCTTCATCTCTAGCAATAATGCCACTTTCTGGCTCTCAGTCTCAGCAGGATTGTGTTTACCTTGGAGTTAGTGGTAGGCTGGGCTGGGGGTGACCTCTGTCTTGTCCTGCTTCATGGAGTTCTTTCTTCTGGGCTGAACACACCGTCTGAGTGGTCCCCTCTGCGCTGGAAAATATCCTGCAGGCAGAGAAATACGCTGCAAGAAGCTGCTGCTGCTTCCTGGCAAATTTCACTCGAGTTAGTCAAGTAAACCCCTCCCAAGACCCAGCCCCTTCAGCCTCAGCTCATAGCGGGTGATATCATGGGCTTGTCTTGTAATGTGAGCAGAAGGACTGCACACAGAAAAGAAATAGAGATGGGGGGGGGAGATCTAGGAGGGAGGAAAAAAATCCTGTGAGGAAGAAGGTGGATTAAGAACATCAATGCTTTCTTGGGACATTCCTACAGAATAAATACTGAGAACCATATCACTACCAGTGTTAAATAATACAGTGTGATCACAGCAGGTTTTAAGCACCCCAGTTTGATTCAGAACCTCGCAGCACCAAGCATTCAACAAATACAGAGGGGTCCGTGGTCTTAGAGCACAGCATCTTCCAACCTACACCCCTTTCTACAGCGTGCAGAGTTTGCAGCGTGGCATTTAAGCAACCTGGTCTAGTGGAAGGTGTCCCTGCTGCTGGCAGGGGGGTTGGAACTGAATGAGCTTTAAGGTCCCTTCCAACCCAAACCATTGATTCTATGATCTCCCAGCTATTCAGGTATCACCCACCTTAACCCTTCAGCACCCAGCAACTGCTTTTCCAGTGACTCATTATTCTTAAAGCTCATAACTACAGCAGCTCAAACCAAGGCATGGACTTAAAAGCCATCTAGATCTGCAACAGGAGTTACTCCATGCTCCTTGATGTCCCAAAGGCTAATCAGATAATAAAAACAATTCTTTATTAAAAAAAAAAAAGACTAATAATAGAAAAAATAATCCCAACCTCTGCTGTGCAAGAAAATTCAGAGCATCTGTGGTGAGAACAGCCAGCAGTGCAATAATGACACTGGTCTGAGCTAGTTGAAACAGTTCCTCTATTGACAAGAAGTAGGAAAATCAATTAGAAGCATCTGTGGTGAGAACAGCCAGCAGTGCAATGGTCTGAGCTAGCTGAAACAGTTCCTCTATTGACAAGAAGTAGCAAAATCAATTAGACATTCCGAGGCAACTATAAACTTCTGCTACCTTTTCCACTAGAGAGGTGTTTGTGTTTTTAAAAGTCTTTTTGTTTTTTATTTGGGCTTTTAATGCATCATAACAATTCTCTTCACTTCTATTTTCTGTCAGCATGAAAATAACAAGAAACCAGTGGCTTTCAAATCCTTATTGCAGAGAAGACCTTCATTTTTTTTCCTTCTAACCCAATTTTATACAGCCACACATTCTGAAATGGCAGCATTTCCCAAAGAATGGAAAGTTATTTTCTCACCACCTTTGACTTTGAGTATTTAAGCCTATGTTCAATGGATTTTTCAAACAAGTCAGCAGAAAGTTGACAGGCACAGAAAGAACAGCAGGTATTCCCAAAGGCCAACTTTCGAAGGAATATCCCCATTTATTTCAGTATATTCATATTTGTAAAGGACTTTTTTGGCAAGCCCTTCCCCAGCACAGAGCTGCTGCCCATAACAACCTTCCAGGTTAGTCCTGTCTGGTTTCATATCAATTCTCAAATTAATAGAATTAATTCTTTTGAAAAATTCAAGAGCTTAATCCACCTCTCTGGATACATTTCCAGCAAAGTAACACCAAACCTGACAAGAACACGTCTGTCATCAGACTTCTGTATTTTCTCAGGCTTTTCATCACTTCCTAAACATGATTTACCCACACCAAGTACACCTGCTTCCTGTTTGGAGAACATCTCCATTTTCTCAACCCCAACCATAGGAAAAGCAACGTTTGGTTTTAGTCCCAGCTGCTCTGGCACCGATGGGCAGAGCTTTCCCCACTCTCTGATGCCATTTTTTATTGGAAAGGGATATTGCACTGAACTGGGCATCAACATTAGAGGAATCTGCAACATGCTGGCAATGGAATGGAAACTAGTTTGGAAGTGTAATGCAGCCTGGAATCATTTAAGCAAGGTCATAGCTCTTCACTCAATGAACTGACCAAACCAGAGAAGCTCAACCTTGCTTACAAGGGACTGCAGGGTATTTAGCACCAAGTTCCTCTTGCTCTCTGTTTCACAGGCTCGACACATGGAGTAGTCTGGTCCAGAACTGAAGGTTCAACCCAAGAACAGCCCCATTACTTACTGGTGTTACTTCTGAGATGATACCCACACCCAGAGGAGACAACACCAGCTGATAATATTGGTGGGATGATGACAACCACATTCCCCACGAGTTGGCAAAGCTTCCTGCACACAGTCCCCCAGCATCAATTGTGTTGTTAAAGATGGAAAAAACAATATTAGAATGAGGACAGTTGTTTCTTGGCATGATCTAGAGAAAATCAAGATGCTGGGACTTAAACCCAGGATGCCACTGAAACAGAGCATGGATTTTTTTTCCTCAAGGAAGCCAGCAGGAGTGGTCAGCAGTGGCAGGTTATGCACGCTGGTCCACAGTGCCCCAGTTCTCCTGTACCAGGAATGCTCATGAAAGAGGTGAAACTCTGCAAACTGCAATCAGCATCATGGCTATCAGCAGAGTCCCACCTGGTGAGTCCAGCCTGGCCAGTCTCACCTCACTCAGTCTCAGGGACATCAGAGAAGAAACATGTCACTGCAGAAGCTCCACAAAGCAGAGCTATTTCAGACTGGCAGGAAGCTGGAAGCACTTTGGCCAGAGGAAGGAATGTGTGAGCGTCTGTTGATCAGGGCATGGAGAAACATGACAGTCTGCTGGAGGAATGTTTGCCGAATGCCTGGGTCGGGTAAGGATACCGGCAGCAAATGCCATGCAGGCTTCCAGCTGATGGAAGAACTTGCTGGTTGCATAAAGCCAAACATTCGACAGGAATGCAGCAAAGCTTTTCAAGGTAACATGCTGGATTTAGGGAATTTGCTGCCCCCTTCATTTAGTAGCTGGTTAAGACCAAAAGAAAAGCACCTAGCAAAAAAAAAAACCAACCCAATAAAAATTAGGAAACTTCTCAAAATCATAATAGTCTACTGAAAAAATCTGCTGCACAAACTAGATTTGCATCATCTGATCATGCAAACAGGGGACCAGGGACACCACTTGCCAGGCCCACCAGCCATCCTGTCACCTCACTGCTCTTTGGGCTCTGTGGAGCTTGCTGCTCTTCACCAGGAGGGAAACACAGACCTACCACCCTGTATCTTATCCTCTCCCCAGCAATAATCTTCCAGCTTCTTCCAACAAAAGGGGCAAAGATGCACCTTTGTGGGCAGCAATACCATAGCTGATGGCTTTCCACACTCAGTGACTCCACCATAATGGATATTTTAATACAAAATACTTGTACAAGTACCAGCTACAGCTGAATGTCTCTCAGCCATGCACACAGCCACCATGTCAGGGCCACATCCCTAGCCTACATATTTGGTTCTGCATCTGCCTGAAGGACACGACTTGCCACAGGAACTTGGTTTTGACCAAATAGTCACAGTCATGGTCCACACTCCCCAAAATTAGGTACGCACTATTAGGTTCTATAATCTCTCTTCTCCAATTTTCAGTTCTTTCAAAAAGAGAAGGCTCATTGCCTCCCTAAACCTTGTGTTTTCACCTTGTAGACTCTTTGGAGCCACAGGTCGACTTGACCTTTCAAAATTTACAGAGCAGATACATTAAGCTCCGTAAAAGTTGCTCTACACAGAGATGATCTAGGTGATAACCAAAGAACCTGACTGTTCTGTAAGAGTGTTAATGACACGTGGCAATTTTCACACCAATTGGCTGTAGTGGAAAGTTCCTGCAACGTGTAATTGCAGAGCCAGATCCCTGCTTTTGAGCTCCCAGGATGGCTAAAAACCACCAGTGATTCTAGAAAAATACCTCTATGAATCCCTCAAAAGAAGCATAAACCAATTTTAGGATAGGCTTAATTCCTACTAGATTATCTAAGATTTCCACATCAGGAGCTTGGTAGTGACTGAACTGACCTTCCAGACTCCCATCTCCCTGGTTACTGCTAGTTGCTGTTGAAAGGACCGTGAATTTGCATTGCTTCTACTCAGGGAGGGACCTTTGCATGACACAGCTTCCTCACAGCCAGCAAAGCTGGAAAAGTGAGATTCATTTGCTATATTTTCTATACGAAATAACTTTATTCCTTTGAGATCTTTCTCCCCTCTGCCTGCATTCTAGCCCGATGCAGACAATGACCACATCACGCTTACTTTCTCCACCACCCACTTGATTTTCCATGCCTTGCAGTCACTCCCTCAAATCTGCAGGCCTTAGAACTTCTCAGTCTTGCAATTCATGTTAGCTCACTCAAGGCACAGCTGACCTCCATCTATAAGATCATTCCAAAACAAGATCTCCACTCAACTCCAGACTCTTAACAAATGGTCCATCTCAACAGAAATGCAGATCAGCTTCATAAGATCTGTGACAGACCCACCCATGTCTTCCAGCTCTCAGGTTGATGCACCATCTAGAGAGTAACACACCTTCAGCATCCATTAACTCACCTGTCTCTGAGCAAATGAAAGGTTCATACACCAAGGTGGGTGAAAACCTGAAGCCCTGTGAAATACTCACAGCAGATATATTTCTGTAGCAGACACAGGGGCTGAGAGATGATGTCTGTTCTTGGAGATGACAGCAGCTGTTCCTTCTCAGTCCCAGGCAGTTTGAACAATAGAGCAGGACATACCCAGAGAAAGCACATACATCTTTCTTGGATTTATCTCCTCAAACTTTCAAGAAAGGGACAAGGGGAGGCCAGTTAGTACCGAAATCTGCCAACTGGAATATGAACTTCTGACTTTCCTAAGCCAAGGAAGACTCGAGTACAAAGCACTTTGCAAGTACTTTTCATTCTCTATCTGGAAGAGCAATTACTCAGAGATCCCAGCTGTCTTTGAGCACTGATTCAAGGAGTCAGCTGTTGAAAGGCAACTTCCCCCCCAAGCAGTCTCCTGACAAAATGCAGGTGGTGGCATACAGCATCTGACCAGCACACACCAGCAACCTTCCCCACACATACAGCCTCAAGACAGATTCCCTCTGTGCAACTCAACCAT